TCTCATGCTCTCCATGACTTTAATATAATGCTTATATATCTCAACCGTACAATTGTGCATTACTGAACCCAGAAGTAGTATTACTGAACCAGTGAGTTCAAGCAGCGGGTGGGGGCTGGTTCCCTCACCCTCCGTCCGCGCAATCTTATTTAATACTACATGTTTCCTTGTCGCTTACAAAGGTGCCTCGGCCTTGGCGGAGCGTGTTGAGAAACGGAGCGAACTCCCTGCTCCTCGACTGCAGGGGCACTGTCACCACCTTCCGATACGGTCTGGCTTTTCGGACAGACTAGGCTTGGAGGGGTAGGGGTGGGGATGGAGGGCGGGGCCCCCAGTGTGCACAGGCAATGGAGAGCAGTACCTTGGACGGGGCAGGCCAGTCCCAGGTGCTGCCCGACCAGCCGCATGCATTCGGCGTCCACAAACTCGAAGGCCGACAGGATCTCTCCGAGCATCCCCTTACAGGAGCGGAAGGTCTGCAGGACTTCGAGGAAACCAGGACAGCCTGCCGCAGGTCAGACAACAAGCGTCCGCATAAGAGGGATGGGAGGGCCTGAGGCACCACGGGGAGCCAGGCCAGAGCTGCAGCCCCAGGTGTCATAGCACTCGGGCCCTGAGGAGGGGGGCGGGGCGGAGGCGGACTGCAGTCCTGTGGGAAGCCACAGCGCCCTCCTGGGGGTCAGTAGGACTCTTGCTTGGCCCTCAGTGCCCACCAGACTCCGGGTGCTGCCCAAGGCTGACACTGCCCTGCTAGCCTAAGGGCCTGGCCTGGCCGTCGCCTGGAGCATCAACAGGGGGTGCCCTCTGAGCAGGCAGCACTGACCGTGGGCAGCCCTCTGGGGTCGGATCGGCTCCACAGGGCAGCAGTTTGCCTCAGTGCAGGTCACTGAGCTTGCAAGGGGAGAGGAGGCCCCCGGGGAGGGTGACCAGGGGAGTGTGCAGCAGACACTGCGCAGCCCCGCCCAGGAGCGCCATCCCATGCGTCCCTGGCAGGGCTGGCCGCCAAAAGGTCAAGCGCACCGAGGAACGCCACGTTCACGGCCTTGGGCTTCGGCGGACACAGGATGGACACGGCGGTGATGACCCCCAGTGTGCCCTCCGACCCGATGAAGAGCTGCTTCAGGTCGTAGCCCGTGTTGTCCTTACGCAGAGAGCTCAGGCAGTTCAGGACAGTGCCATCTGCCAGCACCTGGGGGGTGGGGGGCTCAAGGCTAATGCTTCAGTCCAGGCCCACCTGCTCCCCTAGTCAGCCCTAGAGTGCCCTGGGCCCTCAGCCCAGCCCAGCCCCAGGGTACCCCAAGACCCTAGCCCAGCCCCAGGGTACCCCAAGACCCTAGCCCAGGCCCAGGGAGCCCTGAGACCCCAGCCTAAGTCCATCTTTCTCCTCAGTCCCCTACCCTGCCCCAGGGTGCCCTGAGATCCCCAAACCAGACCCGCCTGCTCCCCAGCCCAGCCCCAGGGTGCCCTGAGACCCCAGCCCAGGCCCTCCCTGGGTCCCATGCACGGCCTAGAGTGGCCTCAGGGAAGGCAAGGGTTAGAGGCACTCACCACTTCCAGGCCCAGGACCGTCCCGTGCAGCGAGCCATAGCGCAGCACCCGCAGGCCACCTGCATTGGTGGCCACGTTCCCCCCAATGTGGCAGCTGCCCTTGGCGCCCAGGTCCAGGGGCATGATGAAGTCACGGTCCTCCACGTACTGACTAAGGTTCTCCAGGATGCACCCTGCCTGGCACACCAGGACACCTGCAACAGCACAGAGCCACTTTGGGTGCCTCCCAGGGCAAGGGGACCCTGCCAGGCAAGCCCACCCAGAGCCTGGGGCCCAGCAGGAGCAGACCCTCAGAGGTGGCCCAGGCCCCTCAATGGCACCAGCACAGGACGAGCCCACCCTGGGCCCTGCTGCACAGACCCAAGGGGCATGGCCAATCAGGAAAGCAGGCAGGGGAGCAGGGGTTATGCCCCACCCGCCCCAAGAACAGAGGCATGTGAACAACTCGAACAGCGGCAGGGACAGAGAGGCAGTGAGTCAGGCAACAGCAGAGAAGGGACCCGTGCGCACTTATGCACGTGTGCACATGCAGACACACACACACACACACATGCACACACATACACTCACAGGTTCTTGTGCATGCATACACACAGGCACATACATGCACACGCATGCACACTCATACATGCACATACAGGTACTCACATACCTACACACGCGCGCATACATACATTCACCCATGCACACACATGTACACACACATGCACACACTAGTACTCACACGGGTACACGTGTGCATGCACACATACACTCACACATGCACACACACACACATTGACTCAGAGTAGTGGTTCTTATCCCCGGGGATCCTGCCCCAGGGACAACAGGCAATGTCCGTGGAGACTTCTGGCCTCACAGTGGGGTGCTGCTGGTGTCTAGTGGGGGGCAGCCAGGGCTACAGCCTGCATCCCACCATGCAGGGTAGCCCATGATAGAGAATATCAGGCACCTGTCACCAGTGCCCAGCTAAGAAGCCAGCTGTAGGGAAGGGCGACTGGGTATGCATTGCCACTCGGCCAGTGGCTACATCTGCCACTTGCACCCGCCAGGGTCGGTGATGGGCAGACCTGCCCAATTGGGGAGTAGCCTGGCCACCAGCTGGCTTGGCCCAAGCTGCAGGCCCATAGTGCAAGCCACCCAGCTGCCCAGTGACATGGGACATGCACTGTGCACATGTATGCAGTCACAACACACTTGCAGGTGCACACATTCAGTCACATGCATGCACACACACATGCACTCACACATAGATAGCCACACACACTAACACACATGTCCAGAGCCGGGCAGGAGCAGGTAGCACGGGCTTACCGGACACGGTGTGGAAGCTGGTCACCTGGTCCATGAGAGAAGTGGACAGCACGACCTCATCAAACACAGGGACGCTGCCGCCCACCATGCCCGTGTTCCCCCCCTGCGGGGTCACCGCCAGCTTCTGCTTGTAGCAGTGCCTGGGGAGCACAGGGTGTTAGGGGGGTCCACACAGGAGAGGGGCTCAGGGAGGGGCTCCTGGGGTGGAGCTTCTAGGAGGGGCCCACAAAGGAAGGGGTCATACAGAATGGGGGGTTATAGGAGGGGTCCATGGGAGGGGTCTGGGCTGAGGGACCACCCAGAGCTGCTCCCTCTGCCCATCCCGAGTGCCCCCTGATCCCACTTCTGTGAGGAGATTCTCAGGGGGCTGCCTGCTCCCCACAACCCTGCCCGTCACTCACCCCTTGGTCCCCCACCCCTCAGACAGTGTCATCTCAATCCTGGTGCCTCTGTCCACAGCCTCACAGAGCCCGCGATGGGCATCGTCCTGCGGGCTGTTGGCGGAGAGGCCCTGGCAGGCTGCATTCCAGGCCCCCTCCACACGGTCAGAAAGCAGGCCATGCCTGGGGTGCCAGCGTGTCCCGGGGACGGAGGGCGGGGGCCCTGCATGTGCCCAACATGTGCCCAGGGGAACCATCAAGGGGCCACGGCCACTGCAGAGGCAGCTCAGTCCCACGGGTGCTGAGTCCAAACTCCTCCAGGGCCCACGACAATGCACGCACCTGCAGTTTCCCGACCATGGGCAGCCCCCACGCCAACCACACTCCCTGCCACCTGGTGAACCGACTCACAGCAACCCTGCAGGCAGGGGGCCTGCCTGTGGTGTCCCAGACTGTCACTCTCTATGGGAGTAGAAAACCCTGTCTTTCTCTGAGCGGCTGGTGGTTGCCAACTGCTGAACTTGGCTGTTAAGAACCAGCCCCCATGTCACCACAACGCCTCCTTCCCAGGGAGGGGAAGGGAACGGTCTCACAGCAAAGCTCCTTACTTCCCAAGACACTGCTCGGGTGCGCTCAGGCCGGGGGCTGATGGGGGGGGGTGGGGTGCAGAAGACAGGGGCTATCCAGGAGGGCCTGTCACCACCACCCCACTCTCTGTGCCCTGCCCCTCCCACGTGGCAGTGACCCAGGGAGGCTCAAAACCAAGGCCACGGACCGGACTTGGGGGCATGTGTGCCGTGGGCCCCTGCCCCCTGCCCCAGTACCTGAGTATCTGCGACACCTCCTCGGTGGTCCGGGGCTTCAGCAGCACCTGGCTGCAGCCTGTAACAGGCAGGGCAGTCAGACTCAGTGACCCACAGAGGGCACATGCCCAACCAAGTGACACAGTAGGATGAGGAAGGCCGGGGCCAGCCTGTGGGGTGCTACTTTTTAAGAAAGCCTTCCTCCCAGGCGGCCCCCACATGCTGGGCAGATTACAAGGCGGGCACTGCTGCCCCAAGGGGACGGGTCTGGGCCTCTGGGCTTGTACTCGGGCTTCTGTGCCAAGCAGGGTGGGAGGGCCTCCCACAGGTCCCACTGTGGGGAGCTGCCCGTCCCCAGAGCCTAGTCCCACCCAATGACAGTACCCTCCCCCTGCCCCAGAAGGCCCTGCCTTGAGGCAGCATCTGACTGGCCCTGGTGTCAGCCTCCTGGTGGACCAGCATGAGGATGGAATCTAAACCCTGACCGCTGGACACCCCAGGGCTCACAGCCGCCCTCGGTGGCGTGGTGGCAGTTCGGTTGGTGGCAGCGGGAGGGGGCGGATGCTCTGCTGCGTCCCCAGGCGGCAGCGGTGGCAGTGGCCAGGATGGGCCTAGTGAGGCCAACCATGTCCCTACTCTCTCTCACCTCCTGCCTGTGTGTGCAACCGGGTCACGGGGTGCCAGGCTCTCTCCTTCCTGCCCGGAGGGGCCTGCCCATGCCCCAGCTCTGACCCCTGGCCTAGGAATCTGACCCCGCACCTCTGACTCCGGCTGTGGGAACCGCCCCAGCCCCCAGCTCGCTCTGAGCTCACACTTGCTGCCCAGCCTGGCCTTCGCCTGGCCTGGGCGTTCGGGACCGTGCCCCACCATCTCAGAGGGTCTTGTCACGGCGGCGGCAGCCAGCCCTGTGGTGTAAGCACTGCTTGGGGCCTGGAGCAGACTGTCTGTGAAGACCCCACACCTGCTCCAGGGACCTGGGATACGGCCAGGCCCAGCCACCCGGCTGAGATGGGCCATTTTGTCTGAGGGAGGCTGCTGGCCTCCTACCAAGGAAACCACGCCAGAAGGACAAGGTCACTCAAGGACAAAGGGAAGGAGGTCCCCAAGATGGACGCCAGAGAGCCTGTAACCCACTCTTAGGAGGAACAGGGAGGCAGAGGAGCTGAGGGCAGATTCCAAGGAGGAGTTTGCATCCAGGGTGCAAAGCCCTGGACTTAGAGAGCCCCAGGGCAACCGGTGCCGCTCAAGCTGAATGAGCTGAAGAAAGTCAAACCTGGAGTCCCCGCAACGGGGGGACAATTCCCCAGGCAAATCTTGCGGGATGCGGGAAGCCTCAAAAAGACATGGAGAGAACACACCAGAGTCCCTGCACCAAAAAGAACCAGGCGAGACGCCCCACGGTGCCAGGAAGGAGCCTGTGAGCAAGAACCAACGGTGCTGAAGGACGAAGTCC